AGTCTATGTGAGTCTATGGGTGTATATGGATATCTGTGCGAGCCTACGGGTCTCTGGTTGAGTCTACGGGTCTCTGTGCGAGTCTACAGGTCTCTGGGTGAGTCTATGGTGACCAGGCTGGGACCATGAACTCCCTACACTTGGGAAGCCGGTTCAACGCCAGGCAGCGGCTGAAATCCGGACTGGAGCCCTGCAGGACCTCAGCAGCATGGGGGGCGCGACGGTGGCTAGGAGATGTTAACCACCTCGCCTGGTATGCAGGAGGCCGTGGGTTTGATCCACACTCTAACGCCTAATGTATATTTGGAGTTTGCGTGTCTCTCTCCCTGTGGTAGCGTGGATTTTTCTCCGGGTCCTCCGGTTTTCCCGTCCGCATTTAGAATTGACTTGCCATTATTTGGCTGCTATAAATATCCACATAAGCCACTTCGTGGAGCTATCATTTGTGATAGCCAACTCGCTTCTGAAAAAGAGTTCTATAGCTCAGTGGGTCTTACCTGATACAATAAAAATAGTTAAGCTTATAGTTTTAGCAGTAACAGTGCCGGCTCTGACCTCTGAACTGCACGGCCTCCTCCAGTTTCACCAAAACCGAGCCGGATGTTTCTCAAGCCTCCGCCACTCTCTCGCGGTTGCGTCATTTGACTTTCAAGTTCTATGGGGGGGAAGGGTCGAGACGGACCGGCGGAAGGGGGGGGGGGGGGCTTCTAGAAGAGGACAGAACAGAGGGGAGGAGGCGCTGGTGGTGGCGGTGTTGAGCCGGTTTGAGGCGGGACGGCACCCAAACGTTCATTGTAAGCAGGACGCCCCGTCGGCCCAAGTGAAGGTATCGGTGGCACGGTGCGAAGGAAGTTCAACGTGCAGCACACGCGCGCATCAGTGGCGAGTGAGAGCGGCAGTGGTTGGTCTGATGGCCCCTAGCACTTGATGCCCACTGACCAGCAAGGTGAAGTATGGTCATTCAGCCACCACACCCCACCCGACTGATACTGCGTGACGAGACATTTTAACCCAGCAGTGGGTTGACAAATCCCTCTAAGTGATAATTATTAAACAGTACAGGAATATATGTTGCCCCTGGCAAGGCAGCGCGCACGCTCACACACTCGGTGTAGTTATTGGCATGGAACGTGCCAAGGATAGAATGTTGCCCTCAATGTAATTCTCGTTATAATTATTGTATGGTAAGTCCTTCATGTGCGTAGCCAACCGTGCTAGCCAATCGCTTAACGCGTGCCCATGTCTATGGGGGGCGGGGGATGTACAGTAGCAGGCGACGTTTCGGGCAATGGCCCTTCTTCAAGTTCGAGAACGTCACAGCGACTGGGTAAATGTGAGTGTGCCGTGGACAGGACCGAGGGCCCGGCGTGTCGAGAGTCACCAGGGAGTGGCAGCCAAAGGAGGGAGCACGGAGCAGGGGGCAGCCGGCTTGGAGTGACTGCGGCTCTGTGCGATGCCGAGGGGGAATCCACTCCGGCTGCCGTCGCACCGAGCCGACGGCAGCGCCGGCCAGGGGACGCCGCACTGCAGCGAACCTTCGATTGATTTACGGAGGAGAGTGGTTTTTGTTTCATGAAGAAAAACTATGAAGGGGAATGATGACACCGCTGTGTTAGTTTATGTAATAACTTTACGCGTCTCGATGATTCTCTGGGGCTCCGTGGATCTCTATGGGTCTCTATACATCTCTATGGATCTCTACAAGTCTTTATGGGTCTCTACAAGTCTTGATGGGTCTCTATACATCTCTATGGGTCTCTATACATCTCTATGGGTCTTTATACATCTCTATGGGTCTCTATACATCTCTATGGGTCTCTATACATCTCTATGGATCTCTATACATCTCTATGGGTCTCTACAAGTCTTTATGGGTCTCTATACATCTCTATGGGTCTCTATACATCTCTATGGATCTCTACAAGTCTTTATGGGTCTCTATACATCTCTATGGGTCTCTATATATCTCTATGGATCTCTACAAGTCTTTATGGGTCTCTACAAGTCTTTATGGGTCTCTATACATCTCTATGGGTCTCTATACATCTCTATGGGTCTCTACAAGTCTTTATCAGAATCAGAATCAGAAAGGGTTTTATTCGCCATGTAAGTTCACACCGACACGGAATTTACTTTGGCAGGATGGTGCATACATTCACATATAGGAATCTAAAATCTTAAATAAGTTTTAAACAAGTCTTACTATAATAAGGGTTAAAAGTCTAACACTAAGGGGCTGAAGTATATAAAATTAAATAAATATCGAATATAAAATAGCTTTAAGATATAATTTAAAAATACAAATAGGGAAACATAGTTAATATCAGCAACGTGTCGTTATGTAGATCAAATGTTAAAAACAGTGTTAGCCCTTGGCCTTGTTTAACAGGCCAGCAGCAGATGGGAAGAAACTGTTTTTATGGCGTGAGGTTTTGGTCCTGATGGACCGAAGCCTTCTGCCGGAGGGGAGTAGCTGAAACAGAGAGTGTCCAGGGTGGGAGAAATCGGCCATAATCTTCCTCGCTCGCCTCATAGACCTTGTCGTGTGCAGGTCCTCGAGGGTCGGTAGATTGCAGGCAATTACCTTCTCAGCAGTGTGGATGATACGCTGCAGTCTGCTCTTGTCCTTGGCAGTGGCAGCAGCGTACCAGACGGTTATGGAGGAGGTGAGGATGGATTCAATGATCGCTGTATAGAATTGCACCATCATTGTCTTTGGCAGGTTGAATTTCTTCAGCTGCCGTAGAAAGTACATCCTCTGTTGAGCTTTCTTGGTGAGGGAGCTGATGTTCAATTCCCACTTGAGGTCCCGGGAGAGAATAGTGCCCAGGAAGCGGAAGGACTCTACAATTTTTACTGGGGAGTCTAACAGGGTGATGGGGGTGAGTGGTGCTGTATTCTTCCTGAAGTCCACAACCATCTCAACTGTCTTTAGAGCATTTAGCTCTAAGTTGTTCTGGCTACACCAGGTCACCAGATTGTCAGCTTCCCACCTATAGTCAGACTCATCCCCACCAGAGATCAGCCCAATGAGGGTGGTGTCATCCGCAAACTTCAATAGTTTGACGGACAGATGATTGGAGGTGCAGCTGTTGGTATACAGGGAGAAGAGCAGAGGGGAAAGGACGCAGCCCTGAGGAGTTCCGGTGCTGATGGACCTGGAGCCAGAGACTTGTGTTCCCAGCTTAACGCACTGCTTCCTGTCAGACAGGAAGTCTGTGATCCATTTACAGGTGGTGTATGGCACGTTCAGCTGGAAGAGCTTGTCCTGGGTCTCTATACATCTCTATGGGTCTCTACAAGTCTTTATGGGTCTCTATACATCTCTATGGGTCTCTACAAGTCTTTATGGGTCTCTACAAGTCTTTATGGGTATCTAGACATCTCTATGGGTCTCTATACATCTCTATGGGTCTCTATACATCTCTATGGATCTCTATTTGTCTCTATAGAACTCTCAATCTCTATGGGTCTCCATGGATCTCTATAAGTCTCTATGGGTCTCTATTAGTGCCTACGGATCTCTCAGTCTCTATGGGCCTCTATGGATCTCCATAATAATGTTCAGTTGAATCTACAGCTTCGTCGTCTGTGCCCGAAGCATCACTCACAATCGCCGAGGATCCACAGACACGAGTGGGAAGGTAACAGCAGCAACCGCCAGGCGGTGAGGAGCCGGCACTCCAAACATTTGCCCAAGCTTTGCCGTCCTCTATATTTAGAGATATTTTCAGCCGATTAATAAAGAGAGTAAAACCAGAGTGCACCGGAGAGAACCCACGCATGCGAGGGGGCAACACTCTATCCCCCACAGGAAGGGGGAATGAGGGGACAAGCGCGATGCTTCACCACGACCCTGTCGGAGGGGGGCAGTTACAGGGCCAAGCCGCGGCACGTTCGTTTGACATTTTCTGCAGAGGTTCGCAGTTAAAATCCACACGGCCGCCCTTGTTAATCGTGCGGTGTTTATTGACCGTAAACAAAATATACTACGTATGCCCTGCTTCACTCGCGGTGGACGAGATGCCTGGATCGTACCGGTGCGCCTCGCTCAAACTAAAATACTTGTTTTTATACCAGGTAAGGTCTACTGAGCTGTATAGCTCTTTTTCAGAAGTGAGCTGGCCACAAATGATAGCTCAACAACGTAGCTCATCACGTGGAAATATTATAGCAGCCAAATACTCTAAACGCGTGTTTGCGGAGGAAAAAACCGGAGAACCTGGAGAAATATCCATGCGACCACGGGAAGAGAGAGAGACAAGCAAACTCCAAACACACAGCAGGCATCAGGGTTGGGATCGAACCCTGCGATCTCCTGCATACCAGGCGAGGCAGCTAACATCTCCCAGCCACTGTGGCAAACGAATCCAACACTGAGCCAAAAAACATCCGGGCAGCGGCGCTCCAGCGGAGACGCTGTTGGCCCGTGACCCCCAGGGGTCAGGGTTTAAAACGGGAGAGGCCCAGCGTGGGAGTTCGCCGCCGTGGTGACATGGTGACGCGGCGCGCTTGAGTTACGCTGGCCGCCGTATTTATAGCCACGGGAGCTGTGAAGGTGCACGGCTGGCATCATCGCCTCCTCCCGCGGGTGGTAAAATATACAAGCGTGGTGGTTAAGTCCTCGTGTAACACACTACAACGCTTTTTCGGTCATAACGCGGGTGCTGAGCGGTCGACGACGAACTACTACTGCGTGGCAGAGCAGTACAGTGGTACAGTAATGGAATGATACAGTAAAGTTGTTTGTCACTGAGTGGTGTGCGGAGTGGAACGTCGTGTGTCTCGCCAAACTTAATGCGGCACTTTTCAGGAATGCATCTACCTCGTTAAACGAGGGCTGACTGGAAGCATTTCCCATACATGTAGATCGCTCCACGTTGTAAAAATAAACCTATTTTTTTACACATCGCATCAGCCATGCGGCCTTCCTTTCTGGGAGTGCAATCATTGTCAGCAGCATTGGTTCTTCATCACGGTTTCAAGATTCAGTGACTCACCAGCAGTGGCACGCTTGCTTGAGCCAATGCTGGTGGAACTGCCAGACTGTTTATAATACAAGGGCCCCCTCTGTTAGTTCCGGGTCCTAGTGCAAGGCAAAATGATACAAAACATAACACAAAATAACCATTGACGTCGCTGCGCAGAACGTAAGAAGAACAAAAAATCAGACCATGCTCCCTTCCTATACATGTCCCTCCACGTAAAAATAAAAACAAATTAAAGTAATTTTATTATAACGCGTCCCATCAATCACCCACGGGTGAGATTGACTAACAGTGGCGTGAGGCTGGAGAGACGCCAAGGAGCGAGGGGAGGGCGAGGCGAGGGAGGAGGAGAGGAGTCGGAGTCACTCTGCACTCTCAGGCATTGTGCGTGCAGGCCGTGGGAGACAAATAGGGCATTCCTCACGCATCGCAAAACAGCCACGATGGAGGTCTTACGACCCCTGCTCCGTTCCGTCTGCCTCACAGTTTGGACCTTCGCTGAAGATCCCCGGTGACGCCATTCGCAAGAGCAGTGCCATCGTGTGCCGGGTCCACACGTGAACAGTTACACCGCGAATGACCTCAAGTGGAGATGATGGACAGTAACTCATCTCGCACGCCAGCCCTCCCCATCGCTGCGAAAACTCGGCGGGACCCTCCTGAGGAGGAGTCTAGAGACGCGGTGAGGGTTTGTCTGGATAAACAAGCGGAACAATCGTAGTAATGATAATAATAACAATAATAATAACGGTCGTGAAGTCACGTGAGATGGGACCCCCACCATCGTGGGAGACGATTAAGAGGGCAGAGGTCAGAGTTGGGCTGTCACGCTAACAACGTCACGCAGCGGGCACCACGGTGACGTCCCCTGTACCTCACAGAGACCCCTCACACACACAGACACACACAGAGACACACACACACAGAGACACACACACACAGAGACACACACACACACAGAGACACACACACACAGAGACACACACACACAGAGACACACACACACAGACACACACACACAGACACACACACAGACACACACACAGAGACAACAACAACAACCGCCATTCGCCACTAAGTGGCGGTGACGTCACCACGACGCTTGTGCCAGGCTATGTGCACCCTGAGGCCACGTGAAGTGTCGAAAGCCCGCTGGCAGGAGGTCACGGGGCAGACCCAGGTGCCACGGGTCGACTGACTGAGATGACTGGCTGATGCACCACCTGTGCCCCCTACTGTGCCAACCTGCTGTGCTTTAGCCACCCGGCGCTCCGCTCGTTGTTCTGAGCGTCGCTCCTCCGCCCTCCGTTGTTGTTGGAGGGCGACTGCCTCCAACTGCCCAGTAGCATCCTTCACGAGCCTCCTCCACAGAGGCCGATCTTGACACTGCTGGTACCAGTCATCGGCAAGTCCACTCAGCTCCACGTCCTCCTGTACCACATCACTCCATCTCTTCTCTAGCCCGTGCCGCGCCCGCTTAGCCCCCTCAATCCGGCCGAACAAAAGCTGTTTCGGCATGCGGTGGCTGGGCATGCGGGCTACATGACCCAGCCATCGCAGCCTTGCCTGCCGGAGGAGCTCACCGATGGGACCCTGCCCAGATCTTTCAAGGATTTGTGAGCTCCTCACACAATCCAGTCTGGTTAAACCCAGGATGGATCGTAGGCAGGCCAGCCTAAATGTTTCTAACCGGCGAAGATGTTCCATTAGGGGGGTCCACGTTTCGCAAGCGTAGAGAAGTGAGGGAATGACCGTGGCCGAGAAGACCTGAAGCTTAGTGCGGAGCGACAGACCAGGTAGCTTCCACACAGCGTTACGCAACCGATGAAAATATATTGCCGCTCGACTGATTCGGAGTGAGACCTCTGCTGTTAAACTGGAGCCAGTCATAAGCACACAGAGACACACACACAGAGACACACACACAGAGACCCACTCACACACAGAGACCCCCTCACACACAGAGACCCACTCACACACAGAGACCCCCTCACACACAGAGACCCCTCACACACAGAGACCCCCACACACAGAGACACACACACACAGAGACCCCTCACACACAGAGACACACACACACAGAGACACACACACACAGAGACCCCTCACACACAGAGACCCCTCACACACACACAGACCCGCTCACACACACACAGAGACCCCTCACACACAGAGACCCCTCACACACAGAGACCCCCTCACACACAGAGACCCCCACACACAGAGACCCCTCATACACAGAGACCCCCACACACACAGAGACCCCTCACACACAGAGACCCCTCAGACACAGAGACCCCTCACACACAGAGACCCCTCACACACAGAGACCCCTCACACAAAGAGACCCCCTCACACACAGAGACCCCTCACACACAGAGACCCCCACACACAGAGACCCCTCACACACACACAGACCGCCTCACACACAAAGACCCCCTCACACACACAGAGACCCCTCACACACAGAGACCCCTCACACACAGAGACCCCTCACACAAAGAGACCCCCTCACACACAGAGACCCCTCACACACAGAGACCCCCACACACAGAGACCCCTCACACACACACAGACCGCCTCACACACAAAGACCCCCTCACACACAGAGACCCCCACACACAGAGACCCCTCATACACAGAGACCCCCACACACACAGAGACCCCTCACACACAGAGACCCCTCACACACAGAGACCCCTCACACACAGAGACCCCTCACACACAGAGACCCCTCACACACAGAGACCCCCTCACACACAGAGACCCCTCACACACAGAGACCCACTCACACACAGAGACCCCCTCACACACAGAGACCCACTCACACACAGAGACCCCCTCACACACAGAGACCCCTCACACACAGAGACCCCCACACACAGAGACACACACACACACAGAGACCCCTCACACACAGAGACACACACACACAGAGACACACACACACAGAGACCCCTCACACACAGCGACCCCTCACACACACACAGACCCGCTCACACACACACAGAGACCCCTCACACACAGAGACCCCTCACACACAGAGACCCCCTCACACACAGAGACCCCCACACACAGAGACCCCACATACACAGAGACCCCCACACATACAGAGACCCCTCACACACAGAGACCCCTCAGACACAGAGACCCCTCACACACAGAGACCCCTCACACACAGAGACCCCTCACACACAGAGACCCCCTCACACACAGAGACCCCTCACACACAGAGACCCCCACACACAGAGACCCCTCACACACACACAGACCGCCTCACACACAAAGACCCCCTCACACACACAGAGACCCCTCACACACAGAGACCCCCTCACACACAGAGACCCCCACACACAGAGACCCCTCATACACAGAGACCCCCACACACACAGAGACCCCTCACACACAGAGACCCCTCACACACAGAGACCCCTCACACACAGAGACCCCTCACACACAGAGACCCCTCACACACAGAGACCCCTCACACACAGAGACCCCTCACACACAGAGACCCCCACACACAGAGACCCCTCACACACACAGACCGCCTCACACACAAAGACCCCCTCACACACACAGAGACCCCTCACACACACAGAGACCCCTCACACACAGAGACCCCTCACACACACAGAGACCCCTCATACACACACAGACCTCTCACACACACACAGACCCCTCACACACACACAGACCCCTCACACACACACAGACCCCTCACACACACAGAGACCCCTCACAGAGACCCCTCACAGACCCCCCCCCCTCACAGAGACCCCTCACACACACAGAGACCCCTCACAGAGACCCCCCACACACACACAGACCCCCTCACAGAGACCCCCTTACACACACAGACCCCCTCACAGAGACCCCCTTCACACACACAGAGACCTCTCATAGAGACCCCTTCACACACACAGACCCCCCCCTCACACACACAGAGACCCCCCACAAACACAGACCCCCCACAAACACAGAGACCCCCTCACAGAGACCTCTCACAGAGACCCCCCTCACACACACAGACCCCCCCTCACACACACAGAGACCCCCTCACAGAGACCCCCCAAACACAGAGACCCCCCCCCCTCACACACACAGAGACCCCCTCACAAATACCCCCTCACAGAGACCCCTCACACACACAGACCCCCCCCCCTCACACACACCCCTCACAGACCCCCCCCCTCACACACCCAGAGACCCCTCACAGACCCCCCCCCCCTCACAGAGGCCCCTCACACACACAGAGACCCCCTCACAAAGACCCCTCACAGAGACCCCCCTCACACACAGACCCCCCCCCCCTCACACACACAGAGACCCCTCACAGACCCCCCCCTCACAGAGACCCCTCACAGAGACCCCCCACACACACAGACCCCCCCTCCCTCACACAGAGACCCCTCACAGAGACCCCTCATACACACACAGACCCCCCCTCACACACAGACCCCCCGCACAGCCCCCCCTCACACACACAAAGACCCCCTCGCACACACACAGATACACCCCCTAACACACACACGCAACCCCCATCTACACACTGCGGCAAAAAGGGGACTCCCCCCCCCCAGTCCAGCAACCCCCTTAGCGTCCCACCCAGACCCCCGGGCACGCTCCCAGGTCCCCTTCGCCTCCCCCCATCCCCTCCCCCGCATTCGCCATCTGATCTCGAGGAGAGGTGGAGGCGCGTCTCGGCTATTTGGATCCACGCGGCTAAACAGGGATACGGGGACCCGCGAGGGGATGAAGGGGGTGATGAGGCCCCTGGGTGGAGAGATGCCTCACTAGCGAGGGGGGCTCAAATGACCCCAATGATTTGGGATGGGGGGGGGCAAGGGGGTGCGCGTGAGTGGACAAGACGCCTCAGGCGACGTGGATTTCGTTGGTGAAGTGGTCATCACGTGGGTGGGTGATGGGAGGTGGGTGGGAGATGTGTGGTGAGTGGTATGGTGAGTGATGTGTGGTGAGTGATGTGTGGTGAGTGGTGTGGTGAGTGATGTGTGGTGAGTGATGTGTGGTGAGTGATGTGTGGTGAGTGATGTGTGATGTAGTTGGTGATGTGTGGTGAGTGCTGTAGTTGGTGATGTGTGGTGAGTGATGTGTGGTGATGTGTGGTGAGTGATGTGTGGTGAGTGATGTGTGATGTAGTTGGTGATGTGTGATGTAGTTGGTGATGTGTGGTGAGTGGTGTGTGGTGAGTGGTGTGGTGAGTGATGGCTGGTAAGTGGCGATGGGTGGTAGACGTCGTGTGGTGAGTGATGTGTGGTGGATTGTTCGGTGATGGTAATTGATGGGTAAAGTGTGGTGACTGCTGGGTCATCAGCAAATTCAATTGCGAATGGTTGATGGGTGACGTGTGGTAGACGCGGTGATGGACGTAGTGGATAATGGATTTTGACTGATATGTGGTGGTGGTGTAGTGGTGGGTGGTGTGGTGGTGGTGTGATGGTGGTGGTGATTTGATGCTAATGTGGCGAGTAAACGCGTCGTGCGGTAACAGGAGATGTGACGGCACGGTGCGAGATGGGTGATGCATCACGTAGTGTCACGCAACATGTAACATGCGATGTGTGTGTGTGTACGCGTGTGATAGGCGGGTCGCCATAACCCCACCCATCCCCAACAATCCGCCACAACAATCATCGCCAACACTAATGTATTCCTTTGTGTGTGCGTGGCTGAGTGACTGGTCAATCCAGAAAAACCCTGCATCCATCTCACATGCAATCTACGTGTGCACACGTGTGTGCGCGTGTCAGTACACGTGTGTGCGCGTGCGCGTGTCAGTACACGTGTGTGCGCGTGCGGGTGTCAGTACACGTGTGTGCGCGTGCGCGTGTCAGTACACGTGTGTGCGCGTGCGTGTGTCAGTACACGTGTGTGTGTCATCATGCCACACACATGCACGCGCGCCTCTCTGTGGATCCTCCAGCACACACAGTCGCACGCACGCACACACATCACATTACACACACACCCCACACCACAACACACATCACATTACACACACACCCCACACCACAACACACACACATCACATTACACACACACCCCACACCACACACACACCACATTACACACACACCCCACATTACACACACATTACACACACACCCCACACCACAACACACACACACCACATTACACACACCCTACGCCACAACACACACACCACATTACACACACCCCACACAACACACACCCCACACAACACACCCCCACACAACACACACCCCACACAACACACACACCCCACACAACACACCCCCACACAACACACACCCCACACAACACACACACCACATCACACAACACACACCCACACAACACACACACCCCACACAACACACACACCACATCACACAAGACACACCCCACACAACACACACCCTACACAACACACACCCTACACCCCACACACACATTACACACACCCTACACCCCACACACGCACCACATCACACACCACATCACACACACCCTACACAACACACACCCTACACAACACACACCCTACACAACACACACCCTACACAACACACACACACCCCACACACACATCACACACACCCCACACAACACACACACCACATCACACACACACAACCCACACACATCACACACCACATCACACACACCTCACACAATACACACCCCACATCACACACACCCTACACAACACACACCCCGCTGTACTCACGGATACGTTGGTTGTCCTTGCCGACCCGAAGCTGAGAGCGGAGGCTGCGATGTCACCGATGACGGCTGGTAGAGACGCTGATGGTGATGATGGTGGTGATGATGGCTGTGGTAATGGTTGGTGGTTGGGGAGATGGCGATGCAACTGCCGTTACAAACACACGCACGCACGCAGGGCGAAGGCAGCACACGGGGAAGAGCGAGGAGGAAGAGGGAGGCAGTGCAGGATGGAGAGAGAGAGAGAGGGCATGTGGGGGGTGGGGATGGAGGCTGTGGTCTCGCTAGGAGCGATGCGAGGGGCTCTCCGCGAGGTGGCGCTGTCTTCACTCAAAGCAGAGGCCGCCGGCATTGACGGCCCCCCCCCCCCCCGTGTCAGCGAGTGGCGCAGTCTGTGGCGGTGGTGGCGATTACATAACGACAACACTTGTAGCACAACGCGCGTTCTACATTGAGACACTGCGGGGCTTCGCGGGGCATTAAAGAAGAGGGCATTGCCACGCGTGGCGTGTGGCGACGTCGCGATAGGACGGGTCGTGTTGGTGGATTTGCTCTCCAACACATCAGCGGTGGTGCTGTACTAGTGACGAATTGGCCACGTTCTGTTTACGTGACAAACCTTACTAGTTGGCTGTGTCGGGTGGTGGCGGGTTTAACGACACATTTATATATTTACGCGATCTAACCCAACAAAAACCCCCTCTATCATCGGTGGAAAGGTGTCCAAAAAAAATAATCGTCCTTCGAGCCGGAGTCGAACCAGCGACCTAAGGATCTCGGCAATTCCTCTACAGTCCTCCGCTCTACCAACTGAGCTATCGAAGGCGGCCGGGAATCAGTCCTTCACCGGCGCTTGTAACGTCAACCAGAACCCAACAACACAGCCACAACAACAACAACAGGCGCTGTTCACCACCGAGTGGCGGTGACGTCACCGCGGTGCTTGTGACGTCAACCACAACCCAACAACACAGCCACAACAACAGGCGCCGTTCACCACCGAGTGGCGGTGACGTCACCGCGGCGCTTGTGACGTCGACCACAACCCAACAACACAGCCACAACAACAAAAACAGGCGCCGTTCACCACCGAGTGGCGGTGACGTCACCGCGGCGCTTGTGCCAGGCTAGGTGCGCTTTGGAGTGTGACGTGAAGTGGCAAGGTCCCGCTGTTGACAGGAGGTTTGCCCATGGGTGGACCGACTGAGCAGATGCACCAACTGTGCGACCCACGAGCAGCGCTGCGTTTTAGCCGCCCGGCGCTCCGCTCGTTGTTGTGAGCGTCGCTCCTCCGCCCTCCGCTGGTGCCGGCAGGTCCACTCAGCTCCACGTCGTCCACGACGACGAAGTCAGCTCCGTCTCCCGTTTAAAGTACAGTACTGTACAGTTTGTTGTACTGTATTCACGGTACTGTACAACTGACAGTACTGTACAACAAAATTAACACATTCGTCAATAACGCTGTGCGGCTTGAAATGGAAAAGTATTTATTTATAAATAAATAAATGCGCCGTTTAAAAATTAATTTATGCAAACCAACACACCTGAAGACGACCGTTTGAGTTATGGTCGAAACGTGAGAATTTTTTATTGTTTTATATATTGTATTATTTTGTTGTTTCCCTTCAACGTGACTTTACCGAAAAAACTAAGAATATGATCAGCGACGTTTCGGGAAAGAACCATTTTCAGAGCGTATGACAACAGCGTTAATCATACATCCAGATAGAGAAAAAAAACTAGGACAAAATCAGGCTTAATTTAGATGAGCGCTTCATTAAGCTTTTTAAAAAATAACACGAAAAATATAGAATAATAAAAGTCTCGAGCCTGGCAGGAGTCGAACCTACAATCTTCTGATCCGTAGTCAGACGCGTTATCCATTGCGCCACAGGCCCCACGTGACTCAACACTCCCAGAGACGAACTTATACCTCCTCCTCCCTGCCACTCCCATCACCATCACCATGGGTGGTGGTGATGGTGGTGATGATAGCCATCCAACCCCTCGTGTGCCGTTCCGGCCTTCATCGGTGCTACTCGCTAACCGCACTTTCCCCCACAGTCTGTTCGGGCTATAAGCGGGATCTGTGTCCTTCTTTGGTGGCTACGCTGCTGCTGCTACTACACGTGGCTGTGTGGAGGCAGTAGCAACGAGGGTTGGTGGATCACCACACAGATGTTGTTGTGGAACTCCCTTCCTACCACGTGTGTGGGCCTCGAGGGGGAGCCGTACCCTGGCGCGCTAGGAGAAGGCGGGTACGGCCAAGTGTGGAGGGCGCGACCAGAGGGAGCCGACACTGACTCACTCACACCATGCACTGACTCACACATCATGCACTGACTCACTCACACCATGCACTGACTCACACATCATACACTGACTTACTCACACATCATACACTGACTCACTCACACCATGCACTGACTCACTCACACATCATGCACTGACTCACTCACACCATGCACTGACTCACACATCATACACTGACTCACTCACACATCATACACTGACTCACTCACACCATGCACTGACTCACACATCATGCACTGACTCACTCACACATCATGCACTGACTCACACATCATACACTGACTCACTCACACATCATACACTGACTCACTCACACCATGCACTGACTCACACATCATGCACTGACTCACTCACACATCATACACGGACTCACACATCATACACTGACTCACTCACACATCATACACTGACTCACTCACACATCATACACTGACTCACTCACACATCATGCACTGACTCACTCACACATCATACACGGACTCACACATCATACGCTGACTCACTCACACATCATACACTGACTCACTCACACATCATAGACTGACTCACTCACACATCATACACTCGCGCAACCACTGACCCATTCACTCATCATACACCGGTTCAGTCATCGTGTGCTGACTCACTCACACATCATACACAGACTCACACATCATACACTGACTCACTCACACATCATACACTGACTCACTCACACATCATACACTGACTCACTCACACATCATACACTGACTCACTCACACATCATACACGGACTCACACATCATACGCTGACTCACTCACACATCATACACTGACTCACTCACACATCATAGACTGACTCACTCACACATCATACACTCGCGCAACCACTGACCCATTCACTCATCATACACCGGTTCAGTCATCGTGTGCTGGCTCACTCGCACATCATACACTCACTCACTCATCATACACTCACTCACACATCATACACTCACTCACTCATCATACACTCACTCACACATCATACACTGACTTCCTCATCATGCGCTGACTAACACATCGTGCGCTGACTCACACATCATACACTCACTCACACTGCCGCTGACTCGCTCACACATCATACACTGACTCACTCATCATACACTCACTCATCATACGCTGACTAACACATCATATACTCACTCACACTGCCGCTGACTCGCTCACACATCATACACTGACTCACTCATCATGCGCTGACTAACACATCATACACTCGCTCACTCATCATACACTCACTCACACTGCCTCTGACTCGCTCACAAATCATACACTGACTCACTAATCATACACTTACTCATCATACGCTGGCTAACACATCGTGCGCTGACTCACACATCATACACTCACTCAAGCTACTACTGACTCACTCATCACACACTGACTCACTCATCATACGCTGACTCGCACATCATACACTCACTCACACTACCACTGACTCACACTACCACTCACTCACACATCATACACTGACTCACACTACCACTGACTCACACATCATACACGCACTCATCATACGCTGACTCGCACATCATACACTCACTCACACTACCACTGACTCACTCACACTACCACTCACTCACACATCATACACTGGGAGTGTCGTGCTGGCAGCTATGGCTGCAGTTTTTTGTCGTACGTGTTATGTATATATTTTTTTGTTCAATTTTAATTCACAGTTCCTATGATTACTGTTGTTACATTGTTTTTTAGCTTTATTTTGGTGATTCGAAAACATATGGTTAATCTAAATTGTCTTTTGGTTGTTGTTGTTGGCTTGCACCACATTGATTTTTTCACACAGCGTTTTAAAAGTTTTTTTGTGTGTGGAATATTTGCTGGTCTATTCCAGGATGTTTCTGTTACGCGTTGTCACTTTAAGATGTTCTGTGTTCAAATTTTGTTTGTTGCGGTTGCAACCGACTTAAGAGCCGCACGAGCACAGGACTATACCTAATAAATGAAACTTTAAACGAATATTCATCTGTTCCATCTGTACGTGGGGGAAAGAGCGTTTCCCCCTCGCTCGCGCACGTGGGTTTTTTTCCGGGTGCTCTGGCTCCCTCCCACACGTGTAAACTCTCATTTATTGACTGATAACGCCTTCATATATAGAGGATCGCAGAGCATGGAGGGCAATTGTTGGTGTCGCCGGCTCCTCGTTACCGGGTGGCTGCTGCTCCTGGCGCTTCTGAGTCGTCACCTCTCTCTCTGTCTCGTCGAGAGATATCACGTTCATATTCTTAGTTTTTTCGGTAAAGTCACGTTGAAGAGAAACAACAAAATAACAAAATATATATAAAACAATAAAAAATTCTCACGACGTTTCGACCATAACTCAAACGGTCATCACGTTGTTTGTAAATAGTTCCATGTACCGTACGAGGGTTATGGTCACGGCCTCATTTCAGCCGAGTTTTGTCATAGTCGGTGATGGGGAAAACACTCACGCGGCACACAACGTCCAGTATACCTGTCGCTGTGAGTGTGCCTCCATGGGCAATGGTGCACAAACACAGACAATCAAAAGACAATTCAACACATTCCGAGTCAACAATAATAATAACGCTGTGGCCTTACAGGGAAAAGACGTCATAAGCGACGTTTCGGGCCAATGGCCGTTCTTCAAATCACAAATTAGTTAAATAGGAGACTTAAAAAAAATCTTCTTACCCAAATGGTCTTTACTTGGGAAATCAACTTCGGCATTGCTTTTTTTTCCAGGCACCATTCTGCTCATAGAGCAACACGCGTATTTGTCGAGCTTTCAGAATGTGTGAAAATAAATTGTCCCTATATTTTTATATCGAGCACAGACTAAAAAAAAGAATGTGGAGGATGCGGGCATCGATCTCACTACCTCTCGCATGCTAAGCGAGCGCTCTACCACTTGAGCTAATCCCCCAGACACAAGGGACGAAGGCGTGGGGTCTCTGTCTTCTCCTTCTTCCTGCCACGCGCTCGCACTCAGACAGCCACGTGGTGAACTCGAGGCGAGATCTCAACTCGTTGGAGTTACAGAGCTCTCAATT